GCATTTTACGTCCGATTCTGTTCTGTAATTTTCAAATGTTTGACGACAACTTACCTCATCCTCCAGTCGTAGGTACGCATAATCGTTATTGTTTTGATCATTTTCTAGTGCATACTTACAGTAAAGTAACCAGTGGGTAACTGCATTTTGATTACTATAAGCATAATAGAGCTTTCGTTTTGTTATCGGTCTTGATAGACAACACATTTTATCTAAAATTATACGCATCTCACGCTTGACTGCTATTTTTCTTCCCTTGTATTTAGAACCCTGGGATAAATATGACGAGCCGGGTTTTCAGCCGAATGCCACTCTGAATCAACTAAATGATCGTTCGGACGAGTCACACCGTGTAGTTTCCGACTCGCTGCCCACTGCTATTGGCTGCACACACAAGCAGTCATCCTCAATGGTGGGCTCCCATGGTCTGTCTGATCCCGATGGACTCCTTATCACAGGGGAGACTAATTCACGAAGCAGCCCGGCTACGCAATTCACTGACTCTATCAAACGTCATGGAAGTGCAGCGGGATTGTCCAATTCGGGTAGTCCGGTTGTTGCAACTTCCGGCACTGGTGGTTCGGGTGTAAGTGCTTCCATGAATACCGGCAGCGGTTACCCATTGGTATCTACCCCTCAGCAAAGTACCGCCAACAGCAGCAACAAGTCGTCCACAATGGCGCAGCTCTTGGCTTCCAGTTCTTCCAACGCGTCACCTACTTGTGGTGGTACGAACACAACCACAGGTGGTAGTGTCGGTGGATCTTCAATGTGTTTGTATGATTATCATAACATGATGTCCACAGATTCGAGTATTCGAGACGCTGAAACACACAGCTCCGATTGGACTGGATCTTCTTCCGCTGGTCCACCATCTAAAATGATGAAAGATGCGGTAGGTGCGCCCGGGACACCAATGGCACGTTCCGTGATAGAGTATCCTCCTGGAGGGACGGAACAATCCTCTTCGTCGTCGCGACCTACTGTGACTGGCCAAATGGGGAGTGCCAGTGGGGATCCGTTCACTTCACCACCCGGTGCAACGACCACAGTGACGTTCTTTGTCTGTGAAGTGTGTGCCTCACGCTACCGGTCCACGGCTGGATTACGTTATCACTATCACAGTCAACACTCAGGATATTCACCGAAGAATCCCATATCTGCTTCAGCATCCAGATTGGTGGTACCGATTGGAGAAGAACGCGGTATCGGGGGTGGTCTACGTGGTGGAAGACCTCGGCGAAACAAGGGTGAGTTCCGAAGCTGATACGAGTACCGTTCAAACTGTTTACCACTGCATGGGATCATATAACTTAGTGGGTTCTAATGTCCTCTATCCTCGACAGTTCTCATTGGAGCTGTGGTTAACACCTTTGTTGCTGTGAGACTAACTTAAAAGCCGAGGAGTAACTTGTGAACTTCAAGTATTTTTGATGAGTATGCATAAGAAGAAGCTATGGACTCATGAATTAAGAGTGATTAAAGAAAATCTAGCCTTGTTGTGTAAAAACCTATTTAGAAAACAACTGATCCACGGTTAACGGTATATGGTATAAATGTAAGATGTGATTATTTTTCAGAAAACACCTGGGCACAAAAAAGGAGCTATGAATGCAGCGGTTATATTTAACCCACGCCGATGCAGTATGAGTAGAAACCCACTTTTCCAGTTCAGCATACGTGTGCTTTCTGACCTGATTGATCGCTTGATCGTGAACAATCAAAAACAGTCCAATTCTAACCTAAATAAATGCAACATTTGGAGCAAATATGGATGATATCGATTATTTACTCTGTGTGTCTACGTCTGTATGCTATTGAAGACAGGACAAATGCGATCCTTTATTCACCCAGCTGATACAGATGTGGAACGAATAAGTGGTCGCACCAGTAGAGTTCATCGTCGGGTCCAAATTCAGTCATTGATTGATCTCTCTTGTAGAATAGACGCGCATTAACTCTTCGACTAAACAATAGTGTACATCAGCATCTTTAGTTAGCATTTAATGAAAGGCTGTTTGGGTCACTGCGATATTTGAAAATACGTGTAAGAGGTAGTACTTTTCATGGGGTTGTTTGATATGGGAATATGGTGCAAGTGTAACAATTCGGTGTAAAGTCCATCCTTTCACACCTATTATGTCATTATCAGATATATTTCGGTCATCAAAATGCTTCCATAAAAAAATTCAACCAAGCCATTCCTGGACGTGCCAACGGATTTCTAAAATACGGCAAACTAGTATCTCCAGTCGAGAAGAGCGCACTCAGCCACAGATGTAAAAGTGACCTGGGGATCATCAAGTTTCGGAATTACGTATGTCAGACGGGAATCTGTTAACCCACCAATAAATATTCCCAATATCAATGAACTAAGGATGAGACCCAACTACAATGAGGTTATCAACTGAACTAGCAGCGGGAATGCCTTAATGGCCATCATTAATTTGGGACATTTTTGAACGAGATATGATTTCGTTTTCGCTACTACCTTTTGCGGAGGAACTGTGATTATCAGTCATTGTTTTATCCGCTGATTCTCATCTGAAGTTAGTTGTGATAAAGTATATGGTAGCCTCTAGATGTGAGAATGTATGTTTGCCGTTTGATAATGAGCCCGACCATGGTAATTGAAATCGTCCGTTTGAAATATTCTGTACTTTCGATACATACGAGGGAGAAGAGTAAACGAAAATCCAAAGAGCGGTTGAACCGATTAAAAACCAGAACAGAAGCGCTTATTTCTGTCAATCTATAACCGAATCTTGCCCATGATACATTTATCAACAATTCGAGTCAGAAGTCAATTACAAAAAAGCAGTGCGAGCGTGCATTGGAAGTGTCAGAAAAGTGTGTCAACCCGTGGAGAACCGTGCCATATCCATGGGGTTTTGCACAGTCTAGATATTTCCGGAATAGAAATTACGCGATCACCAATGGAGAGAACGAGCCGATCAGATTGAAGTATTCTGTCCGTTAGCTTGGTTGAGACTAATTTAGTAACACCGAGAATCAACGACACGGTGACACGGTGACGATCGGTCCAAATCCAGTTACCATTGCTACCGTGGGAGTTCTCAGGGGAAGGTTAGGTTTCCCATGACAAAAGTGTTCAAATTTATCTGACCAAGGCGTAAAGGTAAAGAACAAAACCATATACTCCCCCATCCGGGGTTTGTAAGTTGGACTTTAGAAGCGATCGCCTTACCTTCGGGGGATGACGGCTACTGGGTATGGAAATACGTGGAAACACATGGCTGGGTCAAGTGACGTGAAAGTTAGCGTGGAAACTCTGTGACCTCGTGCGACAGCTTAATTAAACTAGCCTAGTTGAACTCCAATGAAACTCTTTATGTGTCAAGACGTTTGGTCCCCGTTATTGAAATACTGTAATGCGAAAAGCATTTCAGCCTACGGCGGAGTTATATATAATCCTACAGTCGGTCATCCACTTAATCGAATGCAGAATTTTGTTTCATTTGATAAATTAGAAATTTTGAGAAAACTGGTCGGAGCTTGAAAGTTTACCCTTGGGATTCCTTACAACTCATATACATTGCTCACACCCGTCGGGACCGATCGAATTCATTGACCCGGCGGAGTCGTTCATTCTGAGGGCCTTTCACAAAATAGCAAAGAAAATGATTGAAAGAAGAATCCAAATCGTCAGCACCTACATTCCTTCCGAACGTTTAGTTTAAGGTTGCAGATTTTTGCGGTAATCGGGCAGCTTAAGTTGCGGTACTTGCCCGAAACTCTTTGTCTTCAGTAACCTCTTCGTAGTGTTTATCACTTCCGAACACCATAGTTTCTGAATATTCCATATAAAAGTGCTTTATCTGATAGAGGACCCATAAATAGCGGCGAAAATAACGTAACTAATAATGCACCAGTTCGTCTTTATCAACTTGTTTTGGTGCTGGTCCCATTTTTTCACTGTCATGGGAACTCGCGCTTTCCTTACAACTGAGTGTTACTATCCTCTTAACTCCATTCTTTCTAAAGTTGTATCGCCAAAGACCAGATCGTCTTTCTCGCCGACCGCCATTTCAAAATTTCGGGGCATTTTTGATTTCCCTTACCTTAGTAAGAAAATTGGACTGAATATATCAGCTGGACTTACAGCCTATGAGATTCAATACCAAAGTGTATCACCGCGGAGTAACATGCAATACACGCAGAATTCCTGATAATCCGCTGAGACAGTCGAATAATTCCAATCGCCTTATGATAACTGTTTCATTACTACTTCGTTCGTGATATATAGCGCCTTGATTTTTACACGTCAATTCACCCAAAACGTTTACCTGAGTTTGCCGCTTTCGATACCCCTCGTAACAAGGGGGTCTACGAACTACCTTTGATTGTCATCTTTGTTAGTATTTAGGTAAGCGACCCATTGGCCGTGTTTACTCGGAAGGGGTGACCCCTGTTCGTGAGTGTTCTTAGAAGGATCATTTTAGTGGACACATAATGTGACTCACACCTCCGTGCTAACGTCAGCCAAGGCCCGAGGCGCTCCAGTTTCTGGACAACGGACCACAGTATCGGTCACTCACTGACCATACAGTTCAAAGGGAAGGCGTGTGACTCAGAAAACAAGAACGACGATTGATTGATATCCGTTTGACCAATGATGGTTCTATTTGCACATTATGCAATCCCAATGATTTCTTTCAATAAATGTGCCGCTACTATTGTGGCCTTCTTGCATCTCGGTGACGAGAGATTCCAACATGCGATACCAGTGTGATACTGTATTTCATCTATAAGTGCTATTCGTGGTTCGCCTGTATTCCAACCACGTCAGATAATCGTTGGCTAGGTTTCAGCTGATTAGTATGATGTTGCCAGGACGGGCGCTCGGAAACACTTTGTCCTGACTACAATTGTTTGGTTAGTGACTCATTTTCTCGTTTTGCTCATGGATTTATCCGTAGATTGAAGTGATATTTGAAAAAGTTACAATAGTGTATTGTACTATTTTGGAGACGGTGTGCACATCTCGATTTCGCCGTACAATCTGCATCGCCGTGTTGCCATAGTACAGGCTCTCAAGGGTCTAGCTGGCCAACGCATTTCGAATTTGGACGACTGAGCTATTTCTACCCATTTTAAGAGATTCTTTGCTAGACCTCGATAGGGAAATTTTTGTCCCAAACGCCTGGCTCATGATGATTTTGTTTCCCTCCTCTTAAATAAGACACAGGTTGCTATCATTTCGAATATCATACATTCTTTCAAAATCTCAATTTTTCCGTTTCCGTATCCCCCACTCCGACCATTCCTTCGAACTGTTTTGAGGAAATACCGTGGATGCCCGAGGAGGTCGTGGGCATAAGACCAAGGAAAGCGACCAAAAGTCATACGGAGATTTAGTGCTTGGTACACTGGGAGTCATCCGTTCAGGTTCCGGGGACGTGTCGACCGGAAGTAACGGAGGTGATGGATTCAAAGGTTCGCGCTTTTTTGTTTTCATCACAGTTGTCATGTCAATCGCGAAAATCATTATACTTGTCGATTTTTCCCTTAGACGCACTTGGCGTCACTGTCACTCACCCTCACAACATTCTCGTCTAATGTAAGCTAAATACTCGAATCAGTGAGAGTTATTTGAAAAACAGGTAGCGTTAGCTCATGTTTAGTTTTTTGGCACCGAAAGTCGAATTTGCCCGTAGATTTACCAATTCAATAACGATCGACCGATTTCACATGGCACTATGATACACAGGTTCAGTCAGCTTGCTTGCTGGCTCATAGACTTCATCCGTAAAGATATTACACTTAACAATCAACGTACTGGGTATATTTCCGGTTCATAGCAATGCGACAGGTCTATGCAATGGCGAAGGCACTTTTGGTAGGCTGACGCCTGAATTCAACTCATTTTACGCACCTGTCCGCGATAAAACTTCCTTATCCCTTTGGGTATTCGCAGTATCTCCAATTATGAGTTCAATACTTGTTTGGTGGAGTGTTTATAGCAAATTCCTAACCGCATACAAGGACAATGCGCCGTTGGTGTTGTTAGCTTATCTCTGACAGTTTCAGCCAGGCATTGTTTTGTTCCGGCCGGGTTTGCTGGATTGTTTCGAGAGATAAATGGATCTAATACTTCTTGATTGGTTTTTCCTGACGTTAGCACTATTTTCAGAATGAAGTGGTTTATCGGGATGTAGTCATGGTTTTTGTTAGTTTTAAGCTGTCCTGATAATTTTCGCGAGCGACACTTACGGTCGCTACGTCTGGGTGTCTTGTTATATGAACTCTACTTATTCCGAATCCTTGCTGCCTCCCTACATGCATCACCTTGCATTAAAGTGTGACAAACTGCGATTTCCATCTCTCAGTACACTGTTTTTCTTACCGTCTGTCACGGATTTCAATACCGAATTCGTATTGTCAGGTTTACCTTACCTCATTGTGCACTTTGACTTGACTTGACAAACCGCTTTAGACAAAAAATAATCGACCATGCACATTTAGATTTTCAGTGTGGTGGTGGTGGCGTCCACACATGGTATGGTGTATGCATACCTGTCGGCAAGCATCCATTTTAATCGTTCTAGTGACCTTCTTTGTTGTTGCAGTAGTTCGACAGGGTGCTTTTGTCTCTACTCAATATCTCTCCACATCCTGCGCTCCACATGTGATCTGCCTGAGTGTCGGGAATATGCCTTCAATTGTCTCGATGTTTGTTTGTATCGCTAGCAGACATCTACCAAAGTCACAAATCGAAAAATACGGTTGAATGAAGAGAGATACAGAAGGGTGGCACAAAATTTTAGCCAAGGATTGACTTGCTTCTATTGTTTTTCCTGAGAACGTGTTGGGGAGCGAAAATATGCGTTCATATTCATATCGAGATGTGCATCAATCGATTACACGATTTTGCCAACAGATGTAACTAACCGCTGGTAGTCTTTCTCAAGGCAATTTTTCTACCGAATAGGGATTAGTTGACCGGTAAACATCCCCTGAATTAGTGTATTGGAAAATTTCCCCGAGAAAGATTATCCACGGTAATCAGTATACTGGGTTAATATTACCGCAGCTGAAACCATCCTATTATTGACAAAACCAAATCTACTAATCAGTTAAATGAACAGGTAGTGCCGATTGTCAACTGGAATAGTTGTAAGTAGTTGTAAGGGATAATTCAAAAGTACAGAATGGTCAGAATACGCCTGGATAAGCGAAGTTTGGTACACTTACTGTTCCTTGTAAACAAGACGAGTTTGCTTTTTGGGATATGATGTGGTCTTAGTGAAGGTGGTTCACAAATTTCCAATTTTGAGGGCAGCCATGACTTGAAACCCTAAATATTATATGATATATTATATATATTATCTGTGGGTAGACACCTGTGTTAGTTGTCGGGTCCCCTGTGCATGAGAATGACCAGGAGATGAAACGGATAAAGCTCAAAGGAACCCAATCTCAGTGGCGATAGATAATGAAATTAATGCCCGACATTAAATAGTAGAACTACCGGTTCACTTGGGAATGTAGTCTATTGATTTAGTTGGAGGTGTCGGTTTTTGTACTCGAAGGGATGAATACTTCTGATGAGCAAAACAATCGCTCACAAATGTGAACATAAATTCATCTTAGCATGTTAAGCAAGGTAGAGTTGGGGTAGGACGCTAGTCAACTTTTTGTATTCGACCACTGATGCCTTCAAAGCATTACTCTTGAGCAATGACGAAGTTCGTTGCCGTGGCCTGGGTACTGATAGCTGTTCTCTAAGATATTATATCACCCCCGATGGCTCGGTCATGTTTTGCATATGCGTGCCCAAAGTCTACTTCTCCGCGCTCTCTGCGCATGCTGAACGAGGCTGTAGAAAGTGCCGTCGCGGTCACACCATGACCTGGTGGTGAAATATAAAGAATTTATCCTCATCCTTGGCTTCGGTTGGTGCAGCTCGCCTTCCAAGCTGGGTCCCAAGGGATTATGATTGCATATCGTTAGAGACGGTGAGAGCTATGGCGCAGAATAGAAGTCAGTGGCGCGATTGCTGTTCAGTTTGTTTGTCGAATCTCCGTTCCCCATAATAGACGAAAAAGCCTCAAAACGTGTAGGGAAAAACTAGCCAAAAACTATCCACTCATTTGTTCGCCCTGTTCTGTTTTCCCCATCTTCATTTCAGTAATCTGTACTTATTCTTACTATTATTACCATTGCTGTTACGTTGGCACCATCAAGAGTGCCTGGTGTCTCTGAACAATCGAATGGGCTAATCCAAGCCTGATACTTTAAATTGATTAAGCCATTAGCACAAGGTGATGACTTCCGGCCATGTAGCTCAGGGGTAAGGGTTTGAAGTCCCGACCCGACTGATCACGGTTCGAGTCCTGACAGGGACACAAAAAGTACACACTGCTGACGAGTCCCTAACAGGATGAAACGGCTGTCCAGTGCCCTTTGTTGGTTATCACAAACATTTCCATCACATTTGAGTAATACATACAATTCCTTATGTAAAATGTTACATGATACGTGCTTCTTCCACTGCTGCACGCAGCTTCACTTATGTTGGAATGTAAGTCTCAGTTTGAAAGATGTATTGCTTAGCGCACAGATGACGTGGGGTGGGAGAGAGCTCCAGATCGAACGAATTGACTGAGAGAGACTGATGCCGGAATTTCGATCGGCATTTTAAGAACACTAGTTTGAACAGATATCCTGTAGGATGAACGTGGGGCAATGATTTTAGCAGGATGGTTTGGGTTTTGCATTATTTGGTATACCATAATCATGTCTCTGATGCGCCGGTAGTAATTGCAATATAACTCCAACGACTTCGGTCCCTCTGCGTATGACTAGCGATTGAACCCCTTGATCATTTTGGCAGCCATCCTCTGTGGACGCTCCAGCATTTTGCAATCACGTTGTAGCCATGGATTCCATGCCTGGATAGCGTACGCTGTGGGTGAGCGAATATATGCTAATGGCAGACGGAGGAATAGCACTGACTCAAACCGGCCAAAAACACGCCCAAGCAAACCGACATTCTTTACAGCTGCGTTGGACAACCGGGCGCAGTTGAGTGAGCCGCCCAGGTTCTCTTGAATGATAATACCCATGTCCTTCTCAATTGAGGCCTGTGACAGTTTTTCATTTCCGAGGAAATACGAAAATCGCCCCTTGTGTCGTAGAGATAGAATTTTACACTTTGGCGCATTGAATCCAATATCATTCAAAAGAGACCAGAGATTAACCGCTTTCAGCGTTTCCTGAAGTGTCAGCGAGCCCGCTGGTTGCGTCACTGTATTCCAAATTTTAGCGTCGTTTGCAAACATAAATGAATTTTGCCCCAGAGCCTTCGATAGTTCGTTTGTGAATGTTAGGAAAAGTGGCGGGCCAATCACAGATCCTAGTGGAACCCCGCAAGTAACGTCCATGGGACTGGAAAGTGAATCAGAAACACCAACCGATACGGTCGGATGTCGAACAAATGCTTCGATTCATACAAGTAAGAGGCTCAGAATACCGCAATTATAGAGTTTCTGCAATAGAATATCGTGGTTCACACTATCAGACGCTTTTGATAAATTTGCGATAAATAACGTCTACCGCCTCACTGTCATCAACTGCGTTTGTCAATTCTTCTCGTGCGATGAAAAAATTGGTAGCGCATGATCGCTTCTGTCGGAATCCATATTGATTCGGTGACAGAACGTTTTGCTTCTCTAGGTGTTCCATCAGGGAATCTGCTACTATGGACTCCATGACTTTGAACAATGGAAGGAGGGCTACAGGGCCGTTGTTAGCGGGGTGACTGAGGCAACCACCTTTATAAATGGGTGGAATTACTCCCTGCTTCCACAACGGTGGGATTGCAGTGTGATCGGACGTCCTCTGGAATAGGAAAGCTAGTGACCCGGATACTTGATTCGCCAAGTAGATAAGGGTTTGGGGGTGAATATTGTCTACATCTGGCGATGAATTCTGCTTCAAAGCCAATAGCTTTGCTTTAATCTTTTCGGTAGGGAATGAAGGGTGGTTAGTAAATGATGTGGAATATGATGCATCCAGCGACGGAGGCACAGTCCTTAGTTGACGCAGCATACATTTGGGCATACTGGTTCTTCAGCATTTCAGTAGCTTCAATTGCATTGGCTGTGGCTCTTCGAGAAGAACTGAGCATCGGTATTCCATGTTTAACTTTTCGAGCTGAGTTAACATATTGGTACAAAAGCTTGGGGTTTGAAAATAAATATCTGTGCTAGAGATTCTTGATGCTTTAGTTTATCTTCACGCACCAACTGGGTGCAGTGGTTTCGCTGCAGTCGGTAATTGTTCCAGATACATGCGTTCAGGAGTCGTTTGAACTTTCTCCACGAGAGGTCCTTCAGAAATATCCATTTTTTACGGATTCTAATGGGTGATTTCCAACTGCTGGGTTTGGTAACAGCTTTTACTTGCGTCACTGACGCTAGTAGTTGTTACAGACTGTCAACAAATTCCTGTCACACGACTAAATGGTTGTGCTCTATCCTATGAGATATCCATTGAATGGAAGGAGCCAAGCTCTCCAACTTTGCATAATTCATGAATTTGTGAATGTTGTTTGGGTCAATTACTTTGACACACATACATATTCACATAAAAATTGATATAAACTATGGGGAGGAGTATCCGACGCTGTGTTTAAATAATGTATGATTTATGATATAAAACAATGATGGATAAATTTGCGGGTTTTTTTTCCTATTTGGTATACCACAGAACCAAATGCGATTCAGTCGTCTACTCCGGACCCCGGTTCAACATTTTCTCCCAACTATATCTCCGCGAACACAAATGGGACAAACACAGGTACCATCAGGATCTTCAATGAATCACCATCTCCAACACGAGCTTCCTTCTATCGGAACTCGGGATACAGTCCGAAAAATCAATTGAGTTCAAACGGACTGTTGGATGATGGTCTGAAACCAAGCGGTGGTCTTACAACTCCCCTCACCTCAATGGGTCTCATGGCCAATGCATTTAGCTCATCCACACCGGGCACCACTGATGCTCCCGGTGGATTAATTGAACTTGGACGAGTGGTGCCACCCCAGCGTATTCATCACTCTTCCGGAGTCGATATATCATCCTCTCGAACTGTCTTATCTGGCAGTTCTTCCACAACATCTAATCCTATTGGAACTACTCCTTCTTATCACACTATCCCGTGGACTGGAACAGAACCTTATGCATCGGGGCAAACTCTTTCGCAACTCGGTTTAGATGCAACTCACACGATTGGAATGGGCGCGTTTTCACGGATAACTATTGCCCAACGCCGCTATGAACGTCAGCATTGTTCAGATCGAGTAAACTCCAGTGGTCGTACGACAGCTGGGTCGACAAACGGGCCGCATTGTGTCTACTGTCTTGGAGATGATCGACTTAATCCACGAATAGGTCGAGCTGAGAGTTTGCTACGTTGCTACCGATGCGCACAATGGGCTCATTTCAGTTGTCTTCGTCTGCCTCAGCACGTGGTCGAGGCTGCAATGCGATACCCTTGGCAATGTATCGAGTGTAAAACATGCTGGCTATGCGGATCACCTGAGGAAGAGGTGAGTAATGCATGAAGGGGAATGCGTGCTTTTATTTCGGATCTGAGTGAAAATATTGTTGTCTGAAGTTTCGACAACCCGGTTCCGTATTTTGATCGTTCATTTAACATTGGTTGACTTGTTCATCAAACTGGGTACTTTTATTGCTTACATTTGCGACCATCAGCTGAGGTTACAATTTTGGTGATTGGGATCACATTGAGAGTTTAGGTTAGACCTCAACAAGTCATGTAACTGACGACACCTCACTCTAACTGGACCGCACGTGACCGACCACTTTTTCTGCCTACTTCGTGAACATCGATCGACACTTTGTTTAATCGACTTTAGGCGGTTCCTTCAAATTTCGGCAGCGTTATCTATTTTACCAACTTCGGATCATTTTTCAGCGTAACCATTACTGTTTCTTGGTTCTTTTCTTCCTTGGTTTTTGTATGAACTTTTGCGTCGATTCTCACAGTGACTATTGTGTGACTACAGTTGAACCCAATTTCATCAACTGCTCTAAGCGTGTTCATGAAAGCTATCTATCCAATGTGAATCTACCGCCTTCTTCGCAAGGTCTACAAAAAAGCTAAAAAGGACCCTCAGCAAACATTCCGGCAAACTGAGGGAGTGTCGTGCGTGTATGGAAGTTGCTCTTCGTAAACAAACCATCTCCTATGTACATATTTCCACCATTCTCAGTTGTAACACTTTGTATCTAATGGTAAACATGGCCGATTTCGCTAGCGAAATCAAACTGCATTTTGATCTGATCTTGCTGCAAAACTCTGGATCCACAAAGAAATCGGTGATGAC